TTGTATCTAATAGCATTTAAACTAATTTTTTGACAAAGGACCAAAAATGGTCATGGTACAATAATACTAGGACCAAATGATGATGTTTTTTTTTAAAAAAAAAAATTACTAAAAGTGGACGATCATCTATAAATAAAATAAAAAATGGAATTAACTCAAAACTAAAAACAATATTAATAGTATCAGTAACAACAACAACAACAACAACAACAATAATAATAATAATAGGTACTCCGTGTGAAAAAAAAAAATGGAAGATGGAACCCACGTGCCTCGCACGATCCGCCTATACTTTAAGAGGACATTTGATTCGCGAAATGTTAGATTGCGTTAGGGGAATGTTAGGTTCCTATTTGTGGTTTAAAACTGAGGTATGTAATATAATTATGTTTGGTTGAAGAGTTATTCATTTTATGTTATGATGATTATTTCACTTGAATACCGTTAACCTATTTTATATATTTTAATAAATTTTAAAATTTTAAAATAAATAAATAAGGCAGGGAGATCCCTTGTCTCCATATCTGTTTATTATTTGTGCAGAAGGGCTCTCCTTGTTATTAAAACAAGCACATGCTCAGGGAACAATCCATGGGTGTAGAGTTGCGAGAGGTGCACCCTCTATTTCTCATTTATTTTTTGCTGATGACAGTTTATTATTCTTTAAAGCAAATACGCAGGAAGTAAATGCAGTGAAACATTGTTTGACGCGATATGAAAAGTTGTCTGGTCAGGTGGTAAATTATCATAAATCCAGCATATGTTATAGCAAGAACACTCGAGGCGAAGATAGAGATGATGTGGCACAAATTCTGGGGGTTACTCAGGCACCAAATTTTGGAAAATATTTGGGACTCCCCTCATTTATAGGAAGGAATAAGAAGACAGCATTTTCCTATATTGAAGATAAGATAAGACAAAGAATTGTTTCCTGGAATAAAAAGTTGTTATCACAAGCTGGTAAGGAAGTCTTGTTGAAGAGTGTGGCTCAAGCTATGCCCACGTTTTCAATGAGTGTTTTCTTGTTACCTATGGGGATCTGTACAGCAATAGAGCGAACTATGAACCAGTACTGGTGGGGGACGAGAAATGATTGTGGGATCCATTGGAAAGCCTGGGACAAATTGTGTACACCAAAGAAGTATGGGGGCTTGAGTTTCAAAGAGTTGCATGCGTTTAACATAGCAATGTTGGGTAAACAGGCATGGCGATTTCTGTCTAAACCTGACTCATTGGTTTCAAAAGTCTATAAAGCCAGATATTACCCGAAAGGAACTTTCTATGAGGCCACCATAGGAAATAATCCCAGTTTTTGTTGGCGCAGTATTATGGCAGCTCATGACATGGTTTGTTGTGGTGTTAGACGCAGAATTGGAAATGGAAAAACAACCCAGATTTGGGATCATCCATGGTTACAGGACAAGGAAGACCCAATGATTCATATGGATAAACCCCCTACCTAAATAATGCAACCGTTATGGGATTAATTGATCATGAGACACAAACCTGGGACCCGGATATTTTGGCAGATATTTTTATCCCTACAGATGTAGCTCGAATAAAGAAGATTCCAATATCACCAGAATATGAGGATATGTGGTATTGGCATGGAGACCAAGGGGTAACTATACTGTGAAAAGTGGCTACAAAGCGGTTGTGGGTGATCTCAATGATAATATGGGTAATGAGGATAATTGGTTACGTCTGTGGAAGCTTAAAATCCCCCAAATGGAAAACATTTTTATGGAAGGCTTTGAGTGGTATCCTCCCCACCACAACGAATTTGATTATAAAGAGGGTGGAAATACAACCGACATGTGCTATGTGTGGGGTAATGAATGAAGACACAATGCATGCCTTAGTAACATGTGATTATGCAAGTTCCATTTGGGCACAAACTCACCTTCCAATCCCCATGGCAATAACAAATATTTTTCATACTTGGTTTAGTGATCTATTGAATATTTTAGACACTAATCAAATCATTCACGCAGCTGCAATCTTATATTACATTTGGAAGACCAGAAACGGAGCGGTATGGGAGGCATGCCTACCACGACCACAGAAAATACTAGCTTCGGCCAGAGCCACGGTATGTGCATGGCAACATATCCACCCAAACCAGGCCCCCCACCGGGCTGTAACACAACAATGTGCCACTGCCACTGCCGTGTTACAGCAGCAGCAGCGAAACACGGCTATTGCCGTGTTACACCAGCAGCAACACGGCATAATTACTGTTGTGTTACAGCAGCAACAACACGCCATAACTGTTGCTGCGCTACAACAACAATCACACAGCAACATATCTACTGCCGTACTGCAGCAGCAAGAACACGGAACTGCAGCAGATTATGGAATTATTGCCCAGGATGGAATTTTGCACCCAATTCAGAATATGCCAGTCCGAAAATGCTACTTCGACGCTGGTTTTTCACCCATCACCGGAAAAGCCACGGTAGGAACAATCTTGATCAGCGAGGAGGGAGAATATACCTCGGCATTCAGTGCACCATTATCGGAATGTTTCTCCCCACTTATGGCTGAAGCGCTAGCATGCAAAGAAGCCTTGTCTTGGTTATGGAATCATGGGGAACGATCTATACGCTTATTCACGGATTGTTTAACATTGAAGCAATACCTGTCAAACGCAAATGTCTTACTACGAACGTACGTTGGCTATGCCGTAGATGCTTGCAGAGCACGCATCATCTCATTTAATTACTGCCCAGTTATTTTTATTCCTAGATCGGAGAACTATTTAGCTCATAGTTTAGCTGCATCAGCTTTTATTTACTCTACTGTTATGTATTCGGACGATGTCCCCCCAGACTCTATTTCAGAGTACTTTGAATAAATGCCAAACCGGCCACCTTTCAAAAAAAAATAAGGTAATGGTAAAATATAGAAGCAAATGATTTAAAACTGACTAACTAAGAGTTTGAACAATAAGGGGGTGTTTGGTTTGCACATGGAAATCGGAATCGGATGGATATCAAATACTTTGTAATGGTAATGGCCGGGTTTTGGTAAAAGTATTTTGCATGTTTGGTAGTAGGGTACAATGAGAATGATTATCTATATTGCGGCTTAATTATCAAAACTCATAGTAGTGTTCTAAAAACCTGTCAACCAAACAATAACAATGACTTTGATACTCATTCATAATAGCTAAACCTGTTGCTCATTCCTAATAGGTAAACCTGTTTATCAACGAGTCAATACCCCCCCCACACACACACACACACTGAAGTTCGAACCCATGACCTCCCAATTCAAAAAAATCATTTAATACCATTAGACTACAAAGTCATTACTCCCTAGCCATAATCTAAAACGTTTGAAACATACAACTTTTTTTTTTAAAATAAATAAAATGATTATTTCTCTTATTTTTTCATACCCTAACACCCCTCTTTGATACTATTAAAGCTAAAAGGATATGTGCTAAATAAAAAAATTAAATATTTATAATATTTTTATTAGTAGAAAACATTTATATATCATGTACAAAAACTTCTGTAAGACTATTTCACGAATCCTTATCTGTAAGATTGGTCGAGTGAAGACGATGAAAATGTAATACTTCGTACTAATCAGGAATAAAATGTTTGTTAATTATAAGAGAATATATGATACTTTAAAAAAAAGTAATACTTTTACATTTTGATTTAAAAATATTATATTTTGCATTATAAATAACAAACACTTTATTATCATATACATTTTCTCTTATAAGTAACAAACAATTTATTACTTATTAGTATTATATTTTTCTGTATAAGTATTACATTTTCATCTTGATCCAATCCGTCTAAAGAATAAGGATCCGTAAAATGGTATCATAGGTGAGTCAGTCAAAAAAAAAAAAAACTTGCATGGCTATATATATATATATATATATATATATATATATATATATATATATATATATATATATATAAAAGAAGAAAAAATATCAATCACTATCTAAAAGTGTATACTACAAACTTATTTTTGTATAATAATTCATAAATTACAAAGAAAAGTAAAATATTTAACTTTTGTACAATATATAATCTGAATTGTAATTCTATTTCTACCAAACTTCATTGAATTGCAATTCCATGGTTTATTGACGGGAAGGAATTGCATTTCACACTTTGTGGAGTTATAATTTCATAGTAAGTTACTATTTTATCATTTTTTAAAATTTTAGGAATAAGAGTCAAATAGGTCCTCAAACATCAATTAGGCTACTAAACTAAAAAACAGTTACAATTAAATCACTGAACAATACAAATTTATGCAATTTAACTTAAAATGACTTGTTTACTTAATACATTGACATTTTAGTTCCTTTATTTAAAAACAATTTTTTAAATTTTATTTTAATAATTTTAAATAAAATAATTGTTTAAAATTATTTAAAAAAAAAAAAAAAAAAAAGCCTCCAGGCTTGCCGGAGATGAAGGGGACTGCTTCATCTCCCGACCGGCCATGGAGAAGATTGACCCTTTCATCTCTGGCAAGCCTGGAGGGTTTTTTTAATATATATTTTTAAAGCAATTATTGTATTTAAAATTATTAAAATAAAATTTTAAAAATTATTTTTAAATAAAGGAACCGACACGTTAGCATATTAAGAGGTAAACAAGTCAATTTAAGTTAAATTGCATGAATTTGTATTGTTTAGGGATTCAATTGAAATTTTTTGAAAATAAATTTTTTTTAATTCAGTAGCCTAATTACAGTTTGATATATAATTAGATGACTTATTTGATTCTTTTTTTTTTTAATTATTATACAAAAACATTTTAATCTTTACTTATTTTTTCCTTTCTAACTCCCATCTCTATTCCTGCTTTCCTAATTCTCTTTTTCTAACCAACACCTGAAGTAAACTATATCAAAAAAGACCCCGTAAACGAGCTCCACACCAGAGTAAACGTAAGACTTTCTTTTATTTCCTGGTACTGTGATTTCTGGCCCATATATATATTCACACACAAATAGAAATAGATATGATCAAATATATACGGAGCATATCTATACACTGAAGCTTCCTCTCTCTCTCTCTCTCTCTCTCTCTCTCTCTCTACACTCTCCCTTTTTTCTTCTTCTTCTTCCTCTTAGTCAGTCATATATACATTGTTTTACTGGTATTCCATCGTCTCTTTAGGCGCTTTCTTTCCCTGAGTTTAACCGGAATGAACTGAGATCGAGTAGAACTGGGCAGGTGATGATGGCATTATTTCATCTCCGGCCACAAAGCTAGCGGGGTAGAACTGTATAGTATGTGATTAAAGCCGGCAGATCAAGATAGATCAGCGGATGGAACTTGAATGTGGGCTTTACTTTAAAGGATTGCGATTGTTGTTGAAAAACTAGAAATCAAAGATGGATCAGAACTCGAATGAGGACGTGAAGGAAAGCCGTCTTTAATTTGTTTTATACATTTGGTGTCTTGTTTTCCGATCATAGGAATAGAGCCAGAGGTTTCAAGCTAGCTTTATTCAGTTCTCCGTTAACCTTCTCGCCGGTTTCATATCTCTTCTCTTCTCTTCTCTTCTCTCTCTGTGATGTTTCTGTACACACACGTAACAAGATACACGCATTCTTCTGTGTAGATAGATAGTTTATATTCTGTATACCTGTTTCCTGGTTGTTGTTCGTTTGGTTGCTGTGACGAGAAGTGGATAGGTATCATTGTGAAGTAGTTAGTGGAGGTAATTATAGAGGGGGAAAAAAGAGAGGAAAAGTTATTGATGGCGTATCAGAATCAGTTGTCACAAGAAATGGCGAGCTTACAGCATTTCTCAGAGCAGCAGCTGGGAGAAAATTCGTCGGTATTGCGGACTATACTTCCGCAACAGCTAGGAGGTCAGTCGTCGCCGACGGGAAAGCCGGCGGAGAGCCACCAGCAGGCGCCGCCACCGACGTGGCTGAACAGCGCAATTCTGCGGCAACAAAGTCAGTATGTCGGTGATGGCTCTGGAGGCAGCGGGGAAGGGAATTTCCTAAATTCTCACAGCAACTCCGAGTCCTCGGCGGCGGCGGCGGCCTCGAATCAGTGGCTCTCGAGGTCAATTCTGCAGAGGAACGTCAGGGACGACGTGCCGGTATCGAGAGATTCGATGATCGCCGCGGCGATTATGCACGAATCGGCGGCCGATTTGAACGCCAACGACGACGACGACGTCAAAAATATCGGCAACAATGACAACCACGGTGGAGCTGCCGGCGGCGAGTTGGGCGAGAGTGAAGTCGTCGGCGGCACCGGAATCGTGAACTGGCAAAATGCCAGGTACAAAGCCGAAATTCTAGCGCATCCGTTGTATGAGCAGTTATTATCAGCACACGTGGCGTGCTTGCGAATCGCAACTCCAGTGGATCAACTCCCGAGGATTGACGCCCAGCTCGCGCAATCTCAGCAAGTCATTGCAAAATACTCAGCGCTCGGACATGGAAATCTCGGAGACGACAGAGAACTCGATCAATTCTTGGTAAATACTACTCCATAATTCTTATTAAATTTTTTTATTTTATTTTATTAAAAAAAAAAAACAAAACAAAAAAAAAAAACAGATATTTCGTTTTTACCAGATTTCTTCTGTCAAATTAAGAATTAAATTTAAACAGATGAACCTTCTAACAGTGCACATAATCTAACAGCTCTTCCTCCTAAATGCCAACTTCCTATGAAATTGAAGTGAATCTTTTGGCAGTTCGATCTTGCAATCGAAATGCTTTTAATTTGTTGAATTGGAAATTTGGAATTCTAGCCCCTTGACTGAAATATCTTTCCCTATATAACTTCCTCTTCTCTTTCGTTCTGATCTATTCCAGACCCACTATGTCTTGTTGCTTTGTTCTTTCAAAGAGCAACTGCAACAGCATGTGCGCGTTCACGCCATGGAAGCAGTTATGGCATGCTGGGAAATCGAGCAATCTTTACAAAGCTTAACAGGTAATATATACATATATATATATACATATATATATATATATATATATATATATATATATATATATATATATATATATATATATATATAATGCTTCCTTCCTTGTTCTTCAATTCTTGTTTGTGAAATTATAGTACAGTATTGCTATTTTCACTCTGTTTATGAACATTAGGATTTAGGAGCATTTTGTTTGAAGGATTCCAAATTGGAAAATACTATGTGTACCCTTATTTTCTACTATCAACTTTTACTCCAGCACACAAAACTCTTGACGTAGACATTTGTATTGGGACCCACATGAAAAAAAGTAGTCCACATGAGGGAGTAAAATTAGATTTTGGGAGTCCATTAGTAAAACTCTTTCAAATTTATGGTCCAATACCTGGCACTTGGTTGGATGACATATTTAAATCAAACTTAAAAGATTATATATGAAATTCTTAGAGCCAGGTAGCTTAAAGGTCATCCAAGTTTCTTTCTTTTATGGTTTTGCATATAACAAGTGAATGTGTACATTCTCTTTTTTACATCAAGAATTTTAGTCTTATGTACCGTGAAGAATGCCGTAATTAATTGCTTAACATGTTGGTGAGTCTCAGACTCTGTATGTACCACTTATGTAGTACTGAAGTTGATGTTTAATTTTGAATGCTGCTTGTCCAATATTCAGGAGTGTCTCCAGGAGAAGGAACAGGTGCAACAATGTCAGATGATGATGATGACCAGGTGGATAGTGATGCCAACCTGTTTGATGGAGGAGGTTTAGACGGTACAGATAGCCTGGGATTTGGTCCTCTCATTCCAACCGAGAACGAAAGGTCATTGATGGAGCGTGTAAGGCAGGAGCTGAAACATGAACTAAAACAGGTACTATACATCATTGTAAAATTAAACTTCTTTTGATTCTCTTTTCCTATTTTCTTCCTTCCTATAAGAAAAATTCACGATTTATTTGCAATGTCAAAATCCCTGTAGGGTTACAAGGAGAAGATTGTAGACATTAGGGAAGAAATTCTCCGCAAGCGAAGGGCTGGAAAACTTCCCGGTGATACCACATCTGTCTTGAAAGCTTGGTGGCAATCACATGCCAAGTGGCCATACCCAACTGTAAGTTCATTTGCATTATTGTCAATCTTCGTTGTGCTGCAACAATCTTCTTTACTGGAATAAGGGTTGATTCTTTTGGTTTTACTGCAATAAACTCGCATTATCAAATCAAAGCTGATGAAGTTGACATTTTTCTTGCTACTTACCACTAGTCCCTCGGCTTTTAGCTAATATTATGAGAAGCTAAGCTGCTACAGATTCTGTTTGTTAGAATGTTAGGTAGACTCGTTGCTTTAGCTCGATCAGGGGATAAACTACAAAGTGTGTTAGTTGCAGCTCAGAATAAAAAGCCAAAACATCACACTTCAAATGCTGTACTATTAACTGTGTCGAATTTTGTTGTGGTGTCAGGAGGAAGACAAGGCTAGGCTAGTGCAGGAAACTGGGCTCCAACTAAAGCAGATTAATAACTGGTTCATCAATCAGAGAAAGAGAAACTGGCACAGCAACCCTTCCTCTTCTACAACTTTGAAGAGCAAACGCAAAAGGTATTTTTCCTTTTGAATATATGATGCGTTCTGTGGCTCCATTCCAACTAAAAGTTTAAACTGATAGTAAGACTACACGTTTATATTTTATTTATCAAGTATATGCTCTCAATGCAGGTGAAGAAACTAATGAAGTCAACCAGTCAGGTCTTGTGGCTAATCCAGATTTACTTTGATGAGTAGCATAGATAGCATGGAGTTGAAGCCACAAGATAAGAAACACTACTGATAGATGTTCGTAGATATGCTCAGGTGACATTTTGCAGAGATGGAATGGAAGCATGCTTTTTGCAAGTTCTAATAGCTACAAGTTAATAGATACATCATATATATAGTACCAAAACTGGGTTTGGGATGGGTGTTTCCGAAATCTCATTTTTGTTGTCCTGTTTTCAACATTTGTTAGTTATTATATTATAGGAGGGAGCATAGGGGTAGTAGGGTATGGGGGTGGTGGTGGGGGTGTACAGTTCAATAATCCATTGTATGACTTTGGATGCAATTATCAGTTCAGAAGTATGTATCTAGTTTTGTAAGTGCACTATGAGAATATTTTAAATTATAGATAATTTTTGTTGTAGCTTCTTCAGTGGTGTTGTGTGAATTATACACGCAGCATGTATTTATGTACAAATGTAAAAAAATGACTTTGTAAGAATGGTTGTCAATGATCTTGTGGTCTAGTGGTTCTCTCAAATGAGAGGTAATGTGGTTGAATTTCAGTGGGAGCGGTATTGAACGATAACTATAATATAAAGTGAACTATAAAGTTTATAATTGTAAATTGTTAGGGGCAACTCCAATTGAGATGGTTAGACAGTTAACTTGATAAATACGGAATACAAGATTTCAAGTTTGACTCTTATTGGCATTTTTATTTGAGTCGGTTAGTTATGAATTGGTAACTAAATTAGTTTACCTCATTGTCCCATTATTAATTAGTTTACCTCTTGTCTCTAAATTAGTTCTTATTGCCTCACTCTGTTTGACATAACTAATTTAAAAACTAGCTTAAAACTGAAAGTTTAAATGCTAGTAGCTACTAGCTTATTTTGAAATGCTATTTAACTGTATATATTTCAAAATGAACTACCGAGTATTATTTTAAGTTCCATATGTTTTATCAAACAGAACTTATAAGTTATTTGTAACTTAAAATATCTTATAAACTCTACCACAGAGAGTTTATGTCGAATAAAGTCACAACACAAGATTCCCCGTAATCTAAGCAAATTAGACTAGAGATAACAAACCTTGTGGCTTGTATATTAGTTAGTATCACTTCTTTTTATGATGGTATGTGCTTAGCTATCACTATATATAGGAGATTTCATACTCTATTAAATTGTTTTTTTTTTCTTCTGAAATAATGATACTTTTTATTTTTCAAAAATCAATAAGACTTATAATATCTACTATCTACTATAATAATAAGAGCTAAAGAGAGTTAGGCCTATAATGGGTAGAAAAAATGACAGTCAAATTTTTTAATCAAATGAATGGCTCAGATTCAGGGCCGGTTCTAAGCATGTCTAACATGTGCGACCGCACAAAGCCCCCAATTATTGGGGGCCCCATATTTTAAAAAAATAAAATTATAGATAGTATACATGATTTTAGGCTTAGTGCGGGAGATTGGATCAATTTGTGATAGCTGAAATTGAGCCCAATTGACAATCTATCTATCTATATATATATATATATCTATATATATATATATATATATATATATATATATATATATATATATATATATATATATATATATAAAAGTAAAATCCTCCTATTTCATTTTCCCGCCCAAACTTTTGTAGTAAAACTTATTTGGTAACTAAATGTAAAATAGAAATTAATTAAAATCTATTAATTGATAATATTGTTTCCATATTCACGTATTAACCTAATTGGTAAATCTATTAATTGGTAAAAAATTTTCCTTATATTTATTTATTCATTCTTTTATATTGAGTAAGTATATATAGAGATATAGATATGTATACTAACATACAACTGTTACGGTTCCAACGTTTATTCTTGCCCAGGATATTTCTCCATTGAAGACTTGCAGAGCTATTAGACTGCAATTGGTGCGCACCTATATGAAGTCACATAGAGAAAGGGGAGTGAATCCATAAAATCTAGAGAGTGCATGCTTCACGATCAAGAGGTATTTTTTTTTTCAATTTTGCTTTTTTTATACGACTCCAATGTTTATTCTTGCCTAGGATATTTATCCATTGAAGACTTTCAAAGCTATTAGATGGTGATTGGTGTGCACCTATATGAAGTTCCATAGAGAAAGGGGAGTGATTCCATAAAATCTAGAGAGTGCATATTTCCCGATCAAATAGTATTTTTTTTTTATTTTGCTTTTTTTCTAGAACTCGTGTTGTATATGAAATTGGGAAAAAAATGCATTAGAAAGTTGCTTCCTATACTGCAAAAATAAATTGCAAAATAACACTTTTCTTTTTTACTTCATTGTAGGAAACTTCATGCTCATATACCAAGGGAACATGTTGGTAAGTACTGTAAGTTTTTCAAACAATGAAAAGTTTATGCCATTAAAATTTTTATGGTGATAAGTAATTTCTATATTTTCAAAAAATGCACTCATTATTTTATGTTGTAATTCCACTATGCTACTTTGGTTAAAGAATATAAAAAATGACAACTTTTCTAGACAAATTTATTTATTGAAATCATTTTCATCTTTGAAGTCTGTAGATGATAAACAATTCGTTGGTAAGTGTCATTTACAATTTTAATCTACATCTGAATTCTTTTTTTTTTTTTATTAACATGTTTGACGTTATTGGTAGGGTCGTTGAGATATACTCCCCATTGGATAAGATCATTGCAGGGAAGCTTTCTTAACTTATTGATTTTCTAATTGTACGTGGATACAAAGTAAATTATCTAATTTTGTTATTTTTATTGTATTTTGTATATGTATTTTTTATTATGAACTCCGTAGTTTATTTGTTTATAGGGACAATCAATTGAAAGCTACAGTGTGGGATCAACATATACCAAGGCCAAGAGTTGAAACCTTTTTTTTTTTTTTTTTTGAAATTCTGGCCTTGCAAATCCTATTGTTGTTCTTATGCAATTGTGTAGAGTTAAAAATGATACGAAGAGTTAATCTAAACACAAGTATTTTAATTTTTCTTTATATTTGAAAGTGTTTGAATAAGGACAAGTAATGAATGTTCTTTTTGATTAGCCAGTTATGTCAAGATATGTAACTTTTGATACACAGCTACTTTTCAATCAGGATTTCCAGAGTTTTGTGATTTTTTTGGAAAGGTAAATTTATTATGTTTTAATCATTATCATGATGTTTTTATCATTTATTTTTGTACATATTTTGTTTATGATTGTCATTTTTTTTTCAGTTTATGTGTTGATTAGACCCCTCTAATAAAAATTATGGATATTTATGAGATGATTGAGGTAAACAATAGCAATAATTTTTTTTTTTTAAATTGATGCAGTGGCATGAAATTAGAAAATCATCTTTTGCCACTTTTTAAAATGATTTATTAGTATAAATTGTCACACTTTAAAATGTATTTTTTTTAATGTTAATAAATAAATTAGCTTAAAATAATACATTAAAATCTAAAGGATAAGCAAAGTATAATTTAAAGTATAAAATAAAGCCAAAGTTGTACATGTTTGCAAAGTGATGGAGCATTGTAATAGTCTTAGTGCATCCAAATAAAGGCATCATTTAACTGATTATTTCTTTCTTATCTCACATTAAAGGTTCAATACTGCAGATATATATAAAGTATTAGTAATGACATTGGTACTGCTAAATGTGTATATAACTAATTATTTATTGATATAGGATCAAAGAGTGCCCTATATGATCTTAGAGCTCAAATTTTACTTCCAGATATATTAGTTATATTCTATAATATAATAATATTTTTGGTAACATTATTGTTTGCAAATTCTCCATATTTTTTTACGTATTTATAATATCGTGTAGAAAAGACATTAATTAATTAGGTAATAACATAATAGCATAATTGGTAATATTATGTATGGTATTACCGTGTAGAATTTTTGGATGTTTATCACCAACTAATTTTATACAACTTATTTTGTAAGCAAATATAAAGTAGAAATCAACTAAAATCTTGAGAATATTGTTTCCATATTCAATGCTCTCACATAACATAATACCCTATATAGCAAATTTAAACAATTTATAATATAACCAATTCATCATATATATATATATATATATATATATATATATATATATATATATATATATATATATATATATATATATATATATATATATATATATATATATATATATATATATAGGCTTCGAATCCGGTGCACCCCCTCTAATAGATGAGTCCATGAGGCCTCATAATATTCATTGATTCAATTTCCATGAATGGTTGAGATTATAAGAAATTATGGTAGTAATTAATGACATTTACCAATGCAAAGGTTATATTAGTAATTGTAATTGTAATTTAATTATGGACATAATATTATTGGAATCTGAAGCATTATTTTAGGGATTTGTGGATGGAAATTAATAGTTTCAATTATTACAAAGCTTGAAGAAGTGAACGTGGCATGGACAATGTTAAAGGAGAACACGAAGTGGTGGGAGGGTATGAACAATACTGGAGCACATTTCTCAAATGGCTAGTAGCAGTAAGTGCATTTACATGTCAACGTTTGTGCATATGCTGAAGAATGAGTTTTTTTTTTTCCTCGATGGGGGTGAGAGGGGGGGTGTGGTTGTTGGACGAAGTAGTAGTCCATTGACGCGCGTAGCGTGTTCGTGTTCAGGTGGGTGCGTACAGGGTTATTTGTTTGACCGATAGGATGGCGGGATGATGCGTAGACAGCAAATAGTATATGCGTAGAATGTTATAATGTTGAATTTATGGTTTGGTCAAATTTTTTTAAACTATAATACGGGGATTTGGTTGGCCGACTAAAGTGAGATGACTATTGTTTGCGTGAGTTAAAGAACTGGAACAGTGTGGGAGGGTAAGCACGGTGATTACAACTTATATCACTGTATTGATGAAAGTTACAGTGTAAAGTGTGTATGAGGATATAGGCCTGTGCATATAGGCATTATAGATGATTAGGCACTATGTCAGTGCATAGTCGTGCGTTCGCGTGTGCGTAATACCAACATTTCCCAACATTTCAGAAGAAGATGGGTACTAGCAGCACAGGTATTTGCATTACCGGTTTCGGCCTGTGCATTCGTAGATGAATGTGTATTTTTTTTGTTGGTTGTGGGTTTTGTGTACTAGAAAAAGCGTGGTAGAGGGTAGTCTGAATGGTGGTAGGGGTGGGTGCGTAGGGGCAGTTAAGCTTATGCAAACTTTGAATATTAATCTGGCAACGATAACGGTGAGCTACTGTGGTAGGTGCACAGACGAAGTGTAGTATGTGCGTATCTGAAGCAGCAATGGTAATCATATTGATTTTTTTTTTTTTTTGGCATTTGGATTTTTACGTATGAGATATTTTTAATTGGCAAACTCAAAGTTAGGGGATGTGTGTGCGTAGAGTATGGTTTGATAAA